TATGAAGAGTTACGAAATGAAACATTAGCTTCATTCCTGAGTATCTCAATAATTGCTTGTTTAAGGGATTTAATTAAGACTTGTATCCTAGAGTATATGCAGAGCAAATCTTTAGTTGACCTTCTCAAGAATTCAGGATGATCCTGTGTGCAGTGGGATGTCAATGAACCACATATGTGCACAGGTCTGGACTTCCTGTGGGTTTTAAATCTACTAGTAAGCGTGCCTCCTGAGGGAGAGACCTGTGGTGCTCTCTGCTTTCCTTTGTATCTCTGGAACCCAGCTTCAGAAGTCATGCATCCTCAATAAATATTTGTTCAGTACAGAAAGGAAGATGTGGGCTAGTCTTGGTTGAAATGGGTAACAGTATATTTTAGATTTAAAATATAAGAATTTAGTAGTTTCAGTTGAATTTCTGTCACATAACAAATACAGTTAACACATTTGATTTTTGCTTCCTTTCAATGTCATTAACCTCATAATGGAGGGTTAGTCTAGATCCTAAGGTTTTGTCTAGTAGTTTCTCACAAGATGTGTATTAGGCAATCATCCACACACTTGGTGATCTGATTTATTTGTGTAAGATTTTTATCCAAGGTGGCTAGGAACAAAGAAAATAAATAAAATTTATTTCAGTCTTTGGCACTTAGGTAATGGAAAAGTTCAAAGTAGAGTGACTAGCACGTACTAGCTAAAAGGGATTTACTGAGTCTACTACATGTGTAGATGTGCAGGTTTCTGTTTATCAAATGCTAACAACACATGTCATCCCATTGGCTCCTTAATCCCAGTTCTGGATGGAAGATGACAGGTTTTATTTTTAAACCTCCATTTTATTAAAAAGAAAAATAAGATTTAAGCAAATGACTTCCTAATAGCTCATAGTAAATGTACATTGAATTTTGTTGCTGAAACCTATACTACTGATTCCAAATTCACTCTGCTTTCCTCTTGATCAAGCTTGATATTTAATATTTGTATGTTTTAAATGATGTTTTATTTATCTACTTTATATCTTTAAATATAAAGACATTTGCTATATGCAAATAACTGTAGATTTATTTTGTACCTATAAACATATGATAATATTTTGGAGATATAAAGCAGATCTGATGCTTAGTCCATAACATAGGAGATGATCCACATTCCTTACCTGGGCCTGTATTTTGCCTCACTGGTTGCTGCCTTCTGTCTTGCCTGCTCAGCTGCACTGGCCTTCTAGCTCTTTCTTGAGTATAGCATTATATACATGCTTACTTCAAAGTCTGTTTTTTCTCAACTTCTTATGCTCAGATCTCTTCTTGGTTAATGCACTTGTGTCATTTAGCTTTTTCTTTAAATATTGACATTTTAAAAATACTTTCCTTAATTTTGTTTGAGAGACAGAGTTACAGAGAGAAGGAAAGATAGAGAGAAATCCCCTGACTCATTCCCCACTTAGCTGCAATAGAAGGTGCTTGGTTTAGCCAAAGCCAGGAGCCAAAAACTTCTTCTGGGTCTCCTACGTGGGTTCAACAGCCCAGGGATTTGAGCCACCTTCTGCTGTAAAGCAACTGTCTCTATGGCAGGCTGCTATTGCTGGTCTTCCTGGAACTTTGAATACCTAGAATTTTTTTCTCATGTATTTACTTGTTTTCTCCTTCTCCATTGGTCTCATCCACACACATGTAAGAAGAAGAGAAATTCCAAAAAAGTAAAAAGTGGCTTGTTTTGGTCACTCTGGCAGCTTCCCTTGTAAAATAGCATGAAATATATTGTAGGCATCTGATAAAGTGTTGAATAAATAAGCAACTGAAATAGTTCTTTCTGTTTTAAAATTTTCTATACTTTAGTGTGTAGTGTGGGCATATATATTTTCTTTGTCATAACAGTAATCTTCCTCGAAGCTCCTAGCTGCTGTCTTCAACTGGGTCCAGCTGTCGTGGCCATTTTTGAAGTGAATAAACAAGCAGATGGAAGAACTCTGTCTGTTCTCTCTGTAACTCTGGCTCTCAAGTAAATAAATAAAGATTTTTTAAAAGACTCAATTTGTTCCTCTTTAGAAAATGTGGACCAGATACATGGCCTGTCCATGTGGGTCAGGACTTCTGGGTATGAGCATCTCAGAAGGTACATAAATACATCTAAAATATTGTATCAGCATCATCACTTTAAACCAGGCCACCAAGAAGTATTTGCTGAAAATACTTATATTTTAATTTAAACAGGAGGGTCATAATGGTTAGTGAATATTTTTGACTTTTATAGCTTTCTTGTTGAACATCTCATCAGATTTGTAATAATTTTAATGCAAAATACAAGATATACAGGTGTTAGATATTTCTACAATGGGAATTCAGGGTTATTTTGTGTGTTGTAAACTGTGTTCTATAAACTATGTAAAATGTGTATGTAAAAAAAATACAGTTGACTCAATCTTGAAAATATCCCAGATATTTTAGAATTGATCTAAGATGATGTGAACCAAATGATTACAAGTAAATCTTTCTACATAAAACACAGAGAATCACTGACAGAAGATGAAATGTATCAGATTGCTCTGTACTGGCCTCACACACCTGCCACACACCTGCCTTTTAAAAAACTATGTGATGTATGTTTTATAAGTTTTTACCAGGAAAGTCTTTCAGGTTTTACTTAGGGAATAAAGACCGGGACTCTGTGATACAGAGATGATGTTCATAGGACCTATATTTCACTGTATGTTTTTTATTTCCTTTGAATTATCAACACTCTCCACAGACATTATTTAAAAGTTCAGCTTAACAATGGCACTGTTAAGCAACTAGTGAGGAAGCTAATGTAAGTAGAATTTTGTTCATTTAAGGAGTTGGCTTTGGTGTGATGAGTTAAGCTACTGCTTAGGATGCTTAAATCCCGCATTGGAGGGTATAGGACTGAGTTTGGCCTCTGCTTCCAGTCCAGCTTCCTGCTAATGTAATGGCCCAAATACTTTAGTCCCTGAACCTACTTGGAAGATCCAGATGAAGTTCCTGGCTCCTGACTTTTGCCTATCCCCACCTTAGCTGATGTAGGCATTTGAAAAATAAAGCAGCAAATGGAAGATTGTGTGTGTGTGTGTGTGTGTGTGTGTGTGTGTGTGTGTGTCTGCTACTCCTTCTTTCTTGGTCACTCTGCCTGTCAAATCGATCAGTCAGCAATAATGTTATAAAAGGCAGAAATGGTCTACTATGTAAAAAAATTATAAAAAATAGAAACTTCATCAGGGGATAGGTATTTAGTGAGGAGGTCACTGCTTGAGGAAGCTGCGTTCCATTTTAGAGGATCTGCATTTGAGTCATGGCTCTTACTACCCACCACTTGGGCCAAGCAATTCATGTAGGTGACTTTGGGCCTAGCCATTGCACATATTTTGGGAGTGAGAACTCTATCTCTTTCTCTTCCTCTCAAATAATAAAGTAAAAAGAAAACCTCACTTATTTTTTTGGAAATATTATATCAATCTGTATCTTAATGCAGAGGATAATAGGTATTGACACTGCATGAGAGAGCAGTAATTCAAGAAACTTGAGTGCTAGGCCTGACATATCCATAACTCAGCTCTGGGGAAGTTCCTCACCATCCCTGAGCTGTAAAATGAAAGAGTGAGTGTGCCCGGATCTCGCATGGCTGCCGGTTCATGTTCCGCCTGCTCCACTTGCCATCCAGCAGCTCCCTGCTTGTGGCCTTGAAGGCAGTTGAGGACGGCCCAAAGCCATAAGACCCTCCACTTAGGTGGGAGACCTGGAAGAAGCTTCTGGCTCCTGGCTTTGGATCAGTTCGGCTCTGGTTGTTGTCCATATGGGGTGTGAACCAACAGATTGAAGATCTTTATTTCTGTCTCTCATCTTTTCTCTATAGAACTGACTTTGCAATGAAAAGAAATTAATCTTTAAAAAAAAGATAAAGAGTTGTACTTTGTGGGTCACACACATTCGTCATCACATCTGTTCTACCAATGTAGCACAGAAGCAGCCTCAGGCAATATGTAAATGAACAAGTATGGTTGTGTTCCAGTAAAAACGTGTTTTTAAAAAACAGGTGTTAGGCTGGATTTGGCCTTTGGATGCTACTTTGCTCACCACTGAGTCACAATAGCTGTCCTGAGTGTCTGTCTGCCAGGTGTCCTGGCCTCCTGATCTCCTGACCTCCTGACTAATCCCTGAATGCAAAAATAAATGCCTCAGTCTACACCCTCTCCCCTCCTGTTTCCCCTTGATTAATACTTTATTTTCAAACAGTTCTCTCTACTGTCTTACCCTGATGCTACCATATTCCAGCTTTTCCCTATTTCTCGTCATTCTGAACTCGTACTTCCCCAATACGGAAGTTATTGTTGTTTCTCTTAAAAGCCTTTGTGGTTATTACCAATTTTACACACTTTCAACCTTGCCCTGAAAAAATTTTGCCCACATATGTTTTGTACCTAGGGAATTATGGTCAGCCTGGTTTAAAGTCTTCAGGATATGACTGGTTAATCTCTTGCCAAACAGATTCCCTTTTTGAAGTGATGGCCAACCACATTTAACAGGCCACTCTGTTCACAGAGCAGAGGTGGATTTTGTCTTGGCAAATCACATGCAAAGATAGATGTTGGTGTCTGAATTTGATGTGTCCCTAAAGAGACTCCTGCCTCAGCCAGGAGAGTTGGCACCAAGCCTTTAGCTATATGGGAATACCTGGCTCCAGTTCTAGACAATTCCTTCCTAACTTCTGCCCAGCTCATATCCTTGTCCTTTACCTTCAAGTATTCTAGCTCCTATCCTTTCTTTACTCCTGAAATTTCCAAGTTTGAAATCTTCACCTACCATGGATAAACTTGCTGCTGGCAAAGCTCTTTACTTTTATGCATGAAAGCAGATAGATTATTGAGATTTACTACATGCTTTAAATTCACTGCTTTTCCTATTCAGTGATTTAGCTGTAGCCCCGGATAAAGGTGATTTGTGTGATCCATCTTGCTTTATGTCTCACTTGACATTCTGCCTTTTTCATGACAGGTTGCTGAATGCCATAAAGCCAGGACTTGTTAAAAAGATCAATAGATTGCCAACCCCCATTGCAGGATTGGTGAGTATCCAGAATTGAGATTTATTTTCCAGTGTTCCTTTCCTCTAAACTAAAGGTCATGACAGTACCATTTATTACACTTCTCTCCTGCAATATATATTCTACTTGAATGCAAACGCATTGAATCCATTAAACTAAGAGGTCACTTAAAAATGAAAGATAGCAATGGTGCCTATATGGCATCTTAATCTTTGTTTCTAGCTTTCCCACAAGTGATAAGATCCTTCATTCTTAAACAGGTAAATTTGTTTTGGGGTGAGAGGCTGGTAATTATGTTGACCCCAGAAGAGAAATGCTATTTTAATTACATTTTCTTACTCCAATTGTCTACTACATTTCTCCGGAATGAAGAGGAAGAGGAGGATATGAGGGAAAGAATTTCAAGAGACAGTGTGACTTACATAAATGGCTGTTTTGATATTAAAAAACTACTTGATTTTAATGCTACATGTGTAGACTAAATGTTAGAATGCAACAACTCAGAGTTGGTCTACTGTCATCTGGGGAGCTGTTTAAACAAAGTACTGGCCATTGTGAACCTACCTATGTACATAATTTACTTATGTCTGCACATGAGGTCTGATTTTCCCCCCAGGCATTGATCTGTTTCATAATACTTGACAATTAACTTTAATTTTTTCAGTTAATGTTGGCTATTGTATCAAAAAAGGTTGCAAGATTAGACAACCAAATCTTAATTTTGGAAAGAACTTGGTATATTTACACACACATGTGCATATAGAACAATGAGGTTGAGAATGAACAGTGGGTGTGGCCTGCTAATAACTCAGTCGTTGTTGCTATTTCAAGCCTCCTCTTTGCATGTAGTTTTGCAGAAAACTATCAAGAATTTATACAGGATTCAAGAAACATTATTGATTATTCTTAAGAATTCCTTAGCCATGTTATAATAACTAATTGGAATTAGAGCTGAGCAGAAAAAAAAAAAAAAGGTTGTGTTTGAGAACCATCAGGGTCCTGGTAGGAAGGCAGATGGTTTCAACAAATCAAATGAAATGAGTGCCTTCTTTCTTTTAAAAATTCCTATTTCTGTGATGTTTTTTGGAGTTGTGACAAGAAATAATATTTAAAAAGATACAGGTATTCCCAAATCCCAAATTTGACTAAAATTATTTTTTATCATGTTTTAAAATTGAGATTTCAAGCCCCATTTCTCCTTAGTCCCTGAACTCAGCTCTACTTGTCTGGTTGGTGGTGAGTTGGTGATTCATCATTAAAAATCCTTCCAATTTCATGCATTGAGATAGATTATTATATGTATGGATTAAATTCCTAAGGAATGGACCTCAATGACAAGATACATCGCCAATATTGTCATCATATTTTATCAGTATCATATGTTTATGAGTACATATATTAATTATTTTTAAGCATTTTACTAAATCCATCTCTATGACTGCTAAAACCACAGTCTCAGTGATCATGACCAGTGTGCCTGTGGCTGTAAGCATGTGGCATGCTCTTAGAACTCAGGGGTTATATGTTATAGGAGCAACATTTGCAGCATCAGACCAACAAGGTCTCTGAGGAAATCCATTGAAACTGAGACAAGTAGAGCTGAGTCCAGGGACTAAGGAGAAATGGGGCTTGAAACCTTAATTTTAAAACATGATAAAAAATCATTTTAGCCAAATTCGGGGTTTGGGACACCTGTATCTTTAAATATTATTTCTTGTCACAACTCCAATGTTGTTCTTTTACATATTATCTCTGCTTTGGAGCAGTTGGGCAATTTGATGCAAGAAGCAAGGCAGCCTGCTACTCTCAGATCAGTTATATCCCTGGCTTCTATTCCTCCTCTTGGCTTTTGCATTGGAATTTCCTTCCATTTGTTCCTAACCATTGTTTGTCTCTTTATGGACCTTTTCCAACAAACCCTTCCCTATTCACCTTTATTCTCTGTAACTTTGTATTTTCATTATCAACATCACCTTTCATCCAAAAAGACTTTCCCAAGCCATTAGGACCTATTCATTAATGATTCCTGAATCTGCAAGTTTGGTCTTATTCTTTTTGTTTTCTCCAGGTACCTCCAAATTAACATTTCCAAGAACCTTGTGGGCCAGTTGGGGAAATGGAATTGCCATTTGCCCCTCATGTTATGTTAATGTACTTGCAAGATTCTCACATCAAACTTTGTGACTTCAGCTCTGTGTAATATTGGCCAGATCAGCATCTCCCACCAAGTGTTCTCTCCCCAACTCCAGACCTGTAATCTCTAGGTTGGACAGCTCCAACTGGGTGTCCTACACACACCCCAAATTTAATATATTCAAGGACTTAAGATGACCACTCCTACCCAATTATTTCTTAATGTCAGTGTAGGCATCATAGATATAGGAAGACAATTCAAAACATTCATGGAAAAAATGCTCCCGTTTTAAAAGATAAGTTCATTCTGAAACAAAAGACCTTGAAATGCATGCATAGTTTTTTCATAATAGGCATTTTCCATGAAACTTTCTGAGGTACATTCCAGTTACCTCTAGTTTAGCTGTTAGAATAATGGCAACTTTCTATCTTCTCTATACTCTTGTTTTTCTCTGCCTCTGCCTCAGAATATCTGTCCTCCTCTCCTGCCTGGTCTGTTCCAGCCATTTTCCAGTTCAGCAAACACTGTTCATTCTTGAGTGTGATACTTTGTCCCACATAATATCTTAGCCATATAAAATACTCTCTTCCTGTTCTTTTGGACAGAGTCCTGTTTATTTATCAAGATTTATTGCAAAATCATCTTTCGTGAAAACTTTAGTATTTATGGCCCATTATGATATTTTATTATAGCACAAAGATAGTATTCCCTGGCATAACAGAAAATGAATTCATCTATGAGGGAGGTGAAAGTCAGCTCTGTTGAAATATTCTCTGGGGAGAAAGATTTTGAATAACTCTTGTTAACTCTGTGAACTGAAAGACATGTACATGGTTTAATATTCATGTTAAGAAACTGTGGCTTTAGGCAGTTAATTTGCATGATCAAACTTATTCGTAATGGGCCCAAATGATGTAAAGAATCCTAGTGACGTGCTGAAAAACATATCTAAGTAGTCTAAAGCCATGGACATTCTGCATGACAGCTGGCTTGCACTTGTTAATACTGTCAATGTCTTAAAAGTTACTTCCTTCATTCCCTAACAGCTGGGAAACAGATATACATTAAAGGTGACTAGAGGAATATTCCAGCTAAGCATATTGCATGATCCTTGAGTGAGGAAAAGCAGGTATATCAGATAGTAGGAGGAAAATTGGGGAAATTTGAGTAGGAATTGGATGTTAGATGAATGGATTTGCTCAGAGTTGACTTGACTGTATCATATGGTAACTGTTTTGTGTGTATAGTGGAACACTCAGAATCTCAGGCACTACAAATGCTGGAGTATAGAGACATAGATGTGATGTGTGAACAACTAAACCTCCAGGTGCTCAGAGAAAAGTCTATGTACATAATGTTTAATTTTATATGCACATGGAGAGACCGAAGGGAGGAAGGAAGTGAGGGAGGAACAAAAAAATATGTTCGATCTAGACAAATAGCATGGAAATATTGTAACACTGTTCTGTCTTATAGATTTGAAAGTTTTTGGTACTACAAATCTAGAGATTAAGGGGTAGGTGTGTGATGGTGCAGGTTAGGCCACCACTTGGGATGCCTACATCCCATATGGGAAGGATGCCTGGTTTGAGTCCTGGCTGTCCCACTTCTGACTCAGCTTCCTTTATTGCACATCCTGGGAAGTAGCAAGTAATTCTTTGCTATTCACATGAGAGATCTAGTTGGAGCTCTAGACGTTTTAAAAAATAATTAATAAATTTTATTGTTCCATGATAGAGTTCCATAGTCGCCAGGATTTCCCTTGCTCCCTCCCCAAATCCATGATCCTCCACTAATTTCCCCCACGTCGTTATAATAGTCCCGAGTCCATAATTCTGCTATTTAAATGTATCCTGACACTGTAGGCATGCATAATGGCAGAGAGCTCAGCATTCTGTTGTCAAAATACACTCAACAGTTTCATTGGGAGTCCATCTTAGACTTGTAAGTAGATATGCACATTGCATTGTATCTTCACATCTGTATGTGATAGTCTCCACTATACAGTTACTATACATCCCCTTAAATGAAAAGCTGTAAAACAAAATGAACAACAAAGAAGAAAATGGGAAATTTACAGTAACATAAATAAAATGCTACTGAATGACCAATGTGTCGCTGAAGAAATGGAAAAGAAAATCAAAGACTTTCCTGGAGCAGATGGTGCTATTGAGTGACCTATGAGTCAGTGAGGAAATTAATACGAAAAATAAAAACTTTTTTGAATGAGTGAAAATAAAAGCAAAATATAAAATCCTCTGAGATTTAACAAAAACAGTACTGAAAGGGCTATTGATCTTGTGTTTTGCATGAAGGTTGCCTTATATTAGAACATATGATATTTGTCCTTTGAGGCCTGACTGGTTTCACTGAGTGTAATGGTCTTTAGTTGTGTGATTGTGTATTTCATTCAGTGTTTTCCTCTTTCTGATAATTGTGACAGGAAGGGACAGACAGAGACTCCCTCAAATGTATCTGGGGTCTTTGTATTTTGGTGTTTGTATTTTGTCAGGTGGTTGACAGTCACTGGCCAGCTATTGACCAAGAGCAAGTCTGGAGTAGCAGGTCCCTGGGGATCTTAATGAGTGTCGCCAGAGGGTCTTAATGTCTTAATGTCCTGGTGTTAGAAGCCAATCCATTAAGATGGAACAGCTGCTTGACTTGAGGATAAATAAGGAAGTGTGTTTTCACAAAGCAATCCCAAATTGTAAACACATGTAGATTTTCAAAGGTGTGAATAGGTGTATTTTAGCCCCTGAGTTGAGCTGTGGTTACAGAGAATTCAGGGGTGAAGGTGTTAAAACAAAGTAGTTGAAAATCATTTCCTGGCCAGATTTAGGACTTGAAGCGCCTAGGTCCAGGTCTGCATTGCTTTGGTTACCAGTGC